TGGACTTTGCACTGTGAGTCATTTAAATGTATATTAAAGTGCTGTTGCACTCCCTGAATGTCTCCTCAACACTAAAACACAAGTTTTTGCTTCACGTGTCAATTTTAGAGTGACTGTGCTAAAAAACAATGAATTCAACTCATGCTTTTTCAGGGTGTTGATATTTCAATTTCATTTATTCTCCTGCAATATTGAATTTAAATCTTCCAGTGGATAAAAATAGAAGGGACATCTCTCAGTATCCTCTTAATAAAGTTCTTTTCCATTCTAAGTATCTTCTAAATATCTGAAAACCTATACTGGTCATGAATCAGTACCTAAGGCTTTAAATAAAACTATACTTGTTCCATACAAGCTTTAAGGTGACAGTAAGTATATCTGATTGCAGGCAAAGACTTGGGCTTTTTGAAACCCTTCTGAATTTTTCATTCTCAACGGAGAAGCAGATACAATTCTTTGAATGGAAATACACATCAGATATTGTAGCCTATCACGAATGTTGAACTGATAAAGATGAATAAGGATGAGAGAGAATCTGTCTGAACAGGTTGGAAACATTAGTGATGGATTTTTACTTGGTTATACCTGACTTTGAAGAAAGATATATTTGACTGAGGCAGAGCTGCTTAAGCCAACATTCTTCCTCCAAAGTTAATAGATTTTGCCATTCTTACACCATATCCAAATCTGCTTCACTGTTTTCTTTTTCTATAAACACCCCATTTCTCTTCTTTTTCTCAGTGAGATTTAGAAAGCCAAAGTTGTAAAAGAATAAGAATAAGAATAAGAATAAGAATAAGAATAAGAATAAGAATAAGAATAAGGAGTAAGAAGTGCACCAGTTTTATAAAGAATATGCTATAGACTGGACTTTGGCAACTCAACTCTAACTCAAAAGTATAGATCTGGGAGGCAAATCTGCTACCAAATTCATTTTGATGTGAATTAAGTCTGTTTTTATTAAGATCTCTTAAGGTGAGTGTTCAGTTCCATATATATTTAGTCACTGATCCTAGCAATTTCAATCATTCTATTTAAAATGTGAGTGCAAAAAGAAATGTGAAAATTGCCAAAATCTGAACAGTTTGTCTTCATTAGCTCTTTGTAGTTCTTTTGTGCCTTTTCAGGTAGTTTTCATTCTGGTGTGATTTTGAGTTGAAATTTAATGCGTATATACACATAAATCCATATACCTGTGTGTGTACATAGACACAAACAAGCATGTGACATTTTGAGGATATTATCTTACCACAAACATTATGGACCATTGGTCAGTGAGTTTGTTGCACAAGCTGGCGTTACTTTATGACGTTTTTATAGTGGGATTCATCTAGTCTACCTTAGACATTTTAATGTTAGCTCTGCAAGTCTGACATTATCCCCAGGGGTTCCTTTACAAGTAACAAACAGAAGTTAAAAAAAAAAAAAACAGCAATTAACTGCACTTAAGGACAGACAGAAAGAGCAGCACAACAGCCACGGATAATAAAGGAAACCACGACTGCCTAGCAGAGATGTAACTTCTAAATTCTACTCATCAAAACTTAAACGTTACGAATTCCAGTCTCTGTTACTCATTTTTTCTACTTACCTCACTGACTGCAGACAAGACACAGAAACTTGAGACATCATACTTTGTCTGTCAGCATGTCAGTCTTGACTTCAGTCCATTGGAAACTTATTTCACTGTCCACAGAGACCATCTTTACACTCAAACCATCTGCAACCTGCAACACCCTCTGCCTGGCTGCTCCATATTTTTCTTTTTTGTTTCCTCACAGTTCTTTTCCCATGCTCTCCTTGAGCCTGAGGTCATACACTACATACTGGAGATAGATTTTTTTTAGACTTAGTGCTGATTTTATGAAGTAGAAACCTCAAAATGATAGAAAATAGCAGTTTCAACTTGCATAGTGACAGAATTCAGTCAGTGTATTCAGTTAGACATTTATATGAGCCTATCTGTTTGTGTTAAAAATGGTTTCACTAAAATTTATATCTATTTTATAACACTCTGTAGCCTTATACATAGTTGCAAGCATGAAGAGCTTATGGCCCTTTCAAAAGTGTTTTTGAGAGATTGCATATATCAGTTCATTGTGGTCATCCATTACTATAACTGCCTTTTACAAACATTAACTCATTTTTAGGAGTTATAAATTTAAAAATTAGATCACAATGAATATCAGCCTGCATAAAACTGTATATTTTTATCGTACTGCATCAAGTCTCTGCCCCTTTTTCTCTCAAAAAAATTCTGTGATGCAAAATGAAAATAATCATCACAATTTTTAATTCCAGTTCAGCATTCATGAGATTCTCATGAGCTTTTTTTTTCCATGGAAAAGATTTTGCATTATCTTCTGCTCAAAACCAACAACAAAACAATGTGCACACAAAACAAACAAACAAGAGCAGAACAAGCTGTTGTAGATCGCAGAGAGCTTGTGTCTGGGCTATGCATTTTACATTCAAATTAGTTCAAAGTGTTGATATGAATGATATGAAAAAGTGACAGCTTCATTCTGAAAGTGTTTGAATCTTTACAAAGCAGTGTTTTAGACCTCATAGTGCTGAGCCATATTTAATCACTGGATTCATCATTGCTAGTAAAATGGTGCCCAGAGAGGTGGTAGATGGGGCTCTGAGTGATCTGATCGAGCTGCAGATGTCCTTGTTTATTACAGGGGAGTTAGAATCATAGAATAATAGAATCACCAATGTTGGAAAAGACCACTAAGAACATCCAGTCTAACCATCTACCTACCACCTACCGCCAGTATTTCTTGCAAAACCATGTCCCACAGTATAACATCTAAAGGTTTCTTGAACAACTCCAGGGTCAGTGACTCCACCACCACCCTGGGCAGCCCATTCCAGTATCTGACCACACTCTTGGAGAAAAAGTATTTTCTAATGCTCATCCTGAACCTCCCCTGGTGCAACTTGAGGCCATTCCAGCTACTCCTTGTATTGGTTACATGGGAGAAGAGGCTGACCCCCACGCCACTGCAACCTCTGTTCATATATTTGTAAAGAGCAATAAAGTCTCCCTGAGTCTCCTCTTATCCAGACTAAACAATCCCAGCTCTCTCAGATGCTCCTCATAAGGCTTGTGCTCCAGACCTCTCTTCAGTTGGACCAGATGACCTTCAAATGTCCTTTCCAACTTAAATGATTCTCTGATTCCCTGATAAGTTTAAGTACACCTGGTCTTGGGCTCAAACAATCTTCAACTTGTCAAAATTGGATCCAATTTTACAATTAAACAACTCTGCAAATATTTCACGTGGCATAGTCCCAGCTGTCAGAACACTTATACATTAGATGGTGAAAAAAAAGGGACATTCATTACAGTTTTGGATCCATTAGATCAGTTCAGCAATCTTCAACAAAAATTAGAAAGTAAATGTATTTCCCACATATTAAACTCCTAATCAGTCTGATGTTTCTTTGCCTTCTTTTTCTTCTTTTTCATTCACTTTTTTCTCATGTCCTTTGGCATATAAAAACACTTTCTTCCTACTCAGTGTTTTGCACAGACTGGTCCATACAATCCTCTGAGGCTACTGCAGGTCTAAGATGCCCTATTTTTTGCTTATAAATGGCTCCTTGACTGTTTCTTTTTCTGCGACCATCCTAATGGTTATCATTTAAATCAGCAGCTACTTCAGCACATTAATAGTCCTTGTCCCTTGCTCCTCAGCTATCATGTTGTTCCCCTGTGCAATTCTGGTCTAATCACTTTTCCCTGTGATGAGATTCACTAGGTTAGACAACATATTTTTATTTGAGGGAATAGTTATTACCACCCTACACTTTTGCCAAACATAGGAATCCCAATATCTGCACTTACAGCCCCATAGAGGCTCATCCCTGAAGTTCCAATTTTCCTGTTTATCAATTTCTCTTCCAGATATACCTTAAATACAATACATATATATATACCAAACATACAGGATTTCCTTCATAAACCTATTTTCCTAATGCAGACTGTTTTCCAAAGTCCCTGCCAGTTTCTCTCTTTCATATCTTTGCAATGCTCTCTTCAGGAGCTTTTCCTCTGTTAGTCTTTGAGTCAGGATTTTTGCAACTCTATAGGCTCAAGGCTGATCCTGCTTAAGTCTGCTGCTTCTGTCTAGCACTAGCAGACACACTCTTGTAATTCCTAGTCAGCAGTTTCCACAACCATTATAATTTCCATACCCTTTGCAAGGGTATCTATATCACAGATACAATAGGCAATTTATTTCACTACACTTTCTTCTTGAAGTATCATGTCGGAGATACTCTCAGCAATCTTTCTCCAACAAGACTGAATCATTATTTGTTTTATATTCTACATCACCTACAAAATATTTGTTTGAGACTTATCTTCAGCCATTTGTCTGTTTAACTATTCCTTCAGTGATTTATTAAGTGCAACCTTGCATATTCCCTCCATGTTAGAGTAAAAAACACTCTGATTTAGCATTCTGTAACTCAAGTGCGTGCACTGTTAGACACTTGTCACCTGTTGGCACTGTTCAGCATTTGAGGGGAAATCAACTGATGTATTATTCATATTCTTCTGCAACAGTTTCAGACTGGGTGTGTTCTTCTTATGCACCCCAGATAAAACCAGCAGCACACCTGCAGCAGCTGATTTCTGTTTGGGGTGTGGAGAGCTCAGACTGCTGTGTAAATACAACTGTGCTGGCTAGTTAGGAGGCCACCGGCAACGTTTACATTTCACCTTGGATTCTGCTTGGTGACTTGTTCATTTCAGTTCAGGCCACAACTTCTATCTTTGAAGTCTTAGAACATATGTTAGAGTGGATTAAAAGGCTGTGGGACTACAGCTCATTCCAAGGACTTCTAAAATTCTCAGATATACAAAAATGAAACAAACAGAATCTTTCACTGGGAGGTAACAGCACTACATCTCTGACAACAAAACCGTAAGATTCTAAACTGAGCTTTCATGATTAGCATGGAAAAAAGGGTAAAAGAATACTCACCCAAGGAGTTTCACTGAGTGAGTTTTCCATTTGGATCCCTCTTTGTAGGAGTGTCTATAGATTCCTTCTTTGTAAAGGAAAAAATCCTCATAGACTTTCATAATAGCTAAAAAAAAAAAAAAAAAAAGAAAATGGTAGGATAAATCAGCACAGTTAGCAAATATTGCTTGTACTCTAGATTGCTCCTTTAATTTTAGCTGTCAGGTTTTGTGTCATACTGCATGAGTGTTCTTTGCAATTACAATAAATTCACTAATTACTCAGAAGTTGCCTCCTTTGAGTAAACCAAGGGAAATATTCCAACACACCTCTCAAAAGTCTCCTGCCAAATTAGTTGGCTTTCCTTGTCCTGGAAACTCCCTATGACAGATCTATTTCAATTAAAAAAAAATTTAAAAAAATGAAGAAGATGAAATATCTTCTCCTATGGGCTTATGCAGGTTTTCTAAGTTCTGTACAAATCCAGTCCAATAAGACAAATCTCTTCAAGGTTCATGCATAAAATCCTCAGTTCTGAGAAGCATCTGCATAGTCCAGAGAAGTATTTAACTGCCAATGTATATGCATGTATGTAACATCCTATGAAATATGGCAGACTGACAAACATTTGCAATTTGTTTTAATTTTTTTTTTTAATTTAAACAGAGTTCATTGGGTAGACTGGAATCTCCTTATGGAAAAATAGATTTTCTATGTCTTTGTTCATTATGACTTTCAAATGAAAGTATTGTAAAACTGTGGATCAAAATACAGTTTGTTAATAACTATGTAAGGCCAACAAGCTGACGAACTGTAAATTTGGTGCAAGAGAATGAATATTACTATCTGCACTTTACATCTTTTCATAGGATTATCACTTGTTTCAATTTTAAGGAAAATATTTTGAGGTTTTTTTCCAATTCGTTCTGCTAAGTTAGTTCCATTTGTTTTGTTACTTGCTGGGCTACAAGATCTAGAGAAAATATTTTCCATCTTACATTACATAAATAGAAGTGTGAATACAGGCTTACTTTCAGTCTGCATTTAGCTTATGATTTTAGCACACTTATATTTGCCTAGAACAGCTCCCCTGTGAAGAAAGGTTGAGCGTACTGGGTCTGTTCAGCCTTGAGAAAAGAAAACAGAGAGCATCTGATTAATGTTTATAAGTATCTTAAGTGTGGGAGTCAAATGGACTTGGCCAACTTCTTTTCAGCAGTCTGTGGGGACAGGACCAGGGGAATGGCCATTCCTATAGGAAACCCATAGGGAACCTGCTTTGCAGGGGCTTAGACTCCGTGATCTCTTGAAGTCCCTTCCAGCCCCTACAATTCTGTGATTATGTAAAATTGCCACACTGCCTGGAACGTGAGAATTAATGAAACTCAGTTTCTTAAAGTCTTGTGCCTCAGGAATCTTATAACATACATGTCTCAATGACAATTTTAATGTGGTTGGAGTATTAACACATATGTACCTTGTATAGATCTGCAGTATCCATTGAGTAAGGCAAGCTCATGATGCATTTTTTTATTCATCTGGCATGTTTTCAGATTAATTTCCCCTACATGAATATTGTCAAAAACTTGAAGGAAATTGTCTTTATGACCTCTTGGTCTCTATCAAATTGGCTTGAAACAGAAAGCATTCTCAAATTTTAGGAGACAGAAAGATGGGAGGAAAAAAAAACAGCTCAAAACATGGTCATTTATATAGGTTTCATTTACTCAGGAAACCCAGCTGAAAATATGCATTGTTAATAATGTCTGTCATGTCCCAAATTTATGCAGATAGAAACACACAGAGAATAAGCAACCATGATGGTAAGTGGCAAGAAATGGGAAGAGTTTTATCAGTTAAATAAGAAAAATAAATTTAATGAATAATGCCAGAGCTTCTGCCAGAGCTGTCTGCAGAATGAGAGCTCACAGTTATTGATAGCAACAGTCCAAGTGGAAAATAGCACAAACTTTACCCTCGTCTTCTAGCTGCAAGGTCAGGACTCAACAAAATTTCCCTGCAAAGGTTTACCCCTTCCTATCGCAGGTTCTCCAGTGTATAAATCTGGGAATTCCTGTGATTATCCCTCTATCAGTAATATCAAGGTCCGTTTGTTCAATTTCAGTGAACAATTTATTCTGTATCAGCACCTCTAAATCAAAAGTATGTTCTTGGCTCTTTGAAGCACTATCATATCTATCATACTGAAATGAAATACATTTGAAATATATTTGCAAAGTAACTTCAACCTATATGAGAAAATTTCAGCTAGTTGTGTATTACATGTACATACGTGGAATATGTATATATTCTGTATATGTAGATCTGTATATAATTGTACGTATATTTGCATATATGCATATATATTTATTCATACCTATTTAAAAAGCCTGCATATTAATCAGGAGCTGTGTTCATTAAGTGTAGAGTAGATAGAAAGGTGATAATTCAAAGTCAAGCACTGAGATATTTTTATTTTTGCAGAGACCTTGTCCTGATATGGACTGTGACTTGGAAGGGATCTCACTTTTCCAGCCAGATATGTGCCATCCCATATCAAAGCAACCATGCATTTTCCAAAATGAAAGAATTAATGATTAATGAATTGGAAGAGGCAGTAATTTTTGTGCCTCACTGTAGCTTATGCATAAACTACCTCAGTCATGCTGAGCTGTCAGATCCTTGCATAAACACAGCAGATTCATTCTACTATGGATTCATCCTACTGTGGATTCCACTGAATACAATTCTTAAATTAGAATCCATGTATCTTAGACATACGAAGATACAAAACCCAAAAATGTAGTAGCTATCAGAGAAAAAAAAGTGTAGCACAGTACATTAATGCAGGTTAGTGCTTTCTCCAAATCTGTGGTAGTATATGTAATGTTCCTTTATTTCCAAGATCATGATAAGTAAAATTACAAATTTCCTGTATTGCCAATGTGTTTTTAGCTTTGATTTTGGCTGAGAGCAGCCAACATTACAAAAGAGATTCTTATCCTATGTCAGCACTGTATAGGAGTATGTCATAAAATCCATTAAATAAAAATTATGCGCAGTATTTGATTGTCTACTGGAAAATTTTCAAAGCATTAGTAAAACTACACAACGTTTATTTCAAAGTTAATTTTGAAAGAAACTAGAATTCCATCATCTGCACTTCAAACTGCTAATTGTTCTGCTCACCACATAAAACAATGATGTTTGCCAGAGAGAAGCTGTCATTCAAACTTGAAAGCTGTATAGGAGAAAGTTTTTAACTATATTCCTACACCTACTTTTTCAGAATTGTTAAGAATACATGTATCCTTCATAATATTGAATGTGCACAAAGAAAACAAAATTATTAATCATTAAACAAGATGATTTTCATCATCTTGGAAGGTTTTTGAAAATTATCCAGCTATTAAATATTACTCATTACATTAGATAAGATTGGTCATAAGTACTTTGTAAGATCTTGAGGAATGACAAGTGAAGGAAAATGAAAATCATTTTCAGTAGCTGAAGATCACTTTCAGGATGTTCTGAAAAAAAAATGCATGATATCGTTTTAAAGTTAGAATCATATCCTGATTGCATTTGTATTATGGAAAGATAGAATAAGAACAGTGACAAACTATTAGATCGTAACAGATACTCATTTAAGGATCTCATATAACACGAAGGAAGAATGGACAGGAATCACACTCAGTTGTAGAAGCTCTCAGATAAATGCTCTTTTAAGATCTAGATTTTATTTTTCACATACAATATTACCTTGAGACTGAAAACACATTGACATTCCAAAAATGATATGAATCATTGTGTGATTAAAACTTAACAAACATCTGAATCTAGATAATTTTATGTGGAAGATTTAGTACAGATAGATTAAAATAGCAAACTATGTGTATATAGCAGGGGAAGGCAGTATTAGAGAGCAGTCTGAAATTCTGTTTTCGGGATTTGAACTGTTTCCTTATCTCAAAATAAGTAGAAACACTGTGTTCACTTCTAGACAAAATTCAATGTGGGAAAGAATGTTTCCCTTGAGCAAACAAAGTTGGGCAGAAGAAGACTAACAGTACTGATTTTGTCAAAGTTGAGCTTCAAATTGCAGCCGCTCATATAGAAATTTAAGAAGTAATTTCAACATCACAGTACACTGAAATGAATTATATCCAATCCTGTATTTTTCAGTAATGAAATGGAGGCCATGATAATTCATTATATAACTCAAGTCAATTGAAATAAGAAAGTCTCCTGGTTTTGCATTGGTTGTCCATCCAGATCAGATGGATATCCAGCACAACGCCCTTTCCCCATCCCCAGATGCTGTCAGCACCATCTGCAGCTGCAACCAGTCAGGCTAAACAACTCTTTTCCATTCCCCCACATCCTGCTGGAGTATCTTTATTTCCCTAGAAGATCTGAGCCCTTGCACACCAGAAGTTACATCAATGCTGGATACCCTGGGTGAATTACTGCACATACATCTTTTTTATTCACCATGGAAAGCAATTTATGATTTCTAATATTTAGCTACAAGATCGTTGTACATTAATTACTTCAATGACAGTATTAACATATTTCAAACTTACCATACCTTGCACAGGTCCTTTGGCCATGATTTCTTCCATTATATCAGTTTCCTGAGAGAAAGGAAGAGCAGCAGCAGAGAAGGCAAGGGAATAAAATACATTATGTTAAATAATATAAATTCAATACCATACCAACATAAAAACATACCAATTTATTACCATATGCATATATTGTATATATACATATGTATAACAGGTTATATATAACATATGTAACAGGTTACCCAGAGAAGTTGTGCATCCCTCCTCTCTGGAAGCTTTCAAGGCCAGGCTGGATGGGGCTCTGAGCAATGTGGTCTACAGGGAGGTGCTCCTGGCTATAGCAGGGAGGTTTTAACTAGGTGGTCTCAAAGATCCCTTCCAACCCAAACCATTCTATGTTGTATGTATATGGCATAAAATATACCACTTGTATTTCTGCTAAAGCATATTTGGTTTACCAAATGAGAAAAACTATCAAGAATATGATTAAGAAGAAATAATTTATGGCATTTATGACTGCATAATTTCATTTCTATCTTTAATTTCTAAAGAACCACAGCAGCATAACTTTGAAGAGATAAACTGAGAAACTACAAAGAATATAATATCTCAAGTGCAATAAAAAAAAAAAAACTCTCCTTAAAAGTGTTCAAGCAAAGTGCAAATATTTCCATCTACCAAATTATTTTCAAGCCCCAAAGGACAACATGAAAATGACAGGATGTGTGCACAGCATGAACTTACTTTTGAGGAGACCCTGTAGTGAGAGCCACAGCGATATAACCGATTGGAATCTTCCAAAGCATTGGGACAGGGCCCATTTGTATGATTTTTTCCATATTCACTGGACACATAACAGTGATTTTCACTTGGTGAATCCAGATGATGCTTCCAAAATGATGGATAGCAGGCATAGGATACGACCCTGATCAATTAAAAATAGATGTAATAAGATTTTTTTAACTTTTATTCCAAGTTCATAATTATTTTACCACTGTGAGTTTATGGAGGCATTCATTCTTCAAACATATGAACATTTGATAAACCACAAAGTCTACATTCATCAAAAATGGCTTGTGAAATGTGCATCTTTGCATCAAAAACTTTTAAGTGAAATTATTTTCTAGCTTTATCTATATTTTCTGAAGGAATGCTGCTGAAAAGCTACAGGTCTCTTTATTTCTTTCAGCTAAAATGTGTCTGACCTCATATTTTTCTCACATATAATGTGAAAATTTGCTCACTTTTCTTTGTAAACTTTATTGACAGAAGAATTCTCTGTAACTTTTTTTAAAGGTCTGGGTAAAAATAATTGGTTTGCTGACAAAAGAGTGAATTTGATGGTTCTTCCAAAGAGAGGCACAATGCTTAGCAATTAATACTAGCAGCTTAGTTCACACTAACCAAAGCATTTCCGGAAGAAATGCACTTCCTTAAAAGATAAACAAGTGGGAAGTAAGTACAAGTGAGAGCACAGAACTGAGTTAATGAGCGCTCCAGCTGCAGAGACATACTAGGAAAAGCATTTAGACATGGCCTGGTGACTGGGTTGATTATCTTGATTCATGGGAAAAATAAAAATCTCTATAGCGATGCTGGCAGGAGGCACTTTTCTGTAACAAAATACGTAACAGAGAAAGGGTGAAACTCAACAGGCTTTAGTGGTGGAATTTATAATTGTACTGTTTTGCAATAACTTTCAGGAATTTATGCTTACAAAGAAGATGAGAATACGGTTAAGGAATTGCTTTATCTGTAGGATTGGTTTTCCCATCACGTGAGAAATTTCATCTTGGCAGGTTCAAACTCAGGCTGAACTCAGAAAGTATACTTTGATATAAAGTTAGGAAGCAGAGAAGGACAGGACATTGCCTGCAAGAAAATGTGGACCAAAAGAATAAACAGAGGTAGACTTAAAGGCTGGTGAATATGTGTCACCTAATATTCAGAAAAGGTTGGTGACAATCCTAGGGGGAGGAGGCCACAGGGCTTCTTCTGTAGGACCCTCGTTGTTGACAGCAGGATCCTTTCTGCTAAATGTCACTAAAATGACAGACATGCTGTAATAGTGTTACATGTCTGGTCTATGCAGATCTTGAAGACCATCCTCACTATTTCTTAGAAACATTTCTCAAAAGCTTTTCCAAATGCAGAGGGTTTGCAGTCACAAATACAGTAAGTAAATTTTTTGCACCGCCATTAGAAATCTGCATCAATGGTTTTGCTTTCAAGGTTTCAGAGTATATTTACAGAAATTAAGACTCCTTTTGAATGATTTAAATGAAATTATATATTCTACAAAGATTGTGTTTTGAAAATACTAAGACCAATCATCGCTGGGCAGCTTTTATTGTAATAAAGATTTCAAAATAATTAAAATTAGTAGGTTGCAAGAATCGTGGAGGAAATATTCAATAGAAAATACATGAAATTAATTGATTGTTCATAAGTAATCAAAGACAAATCTTTGAATTGCAAAGAGAGCTTCTTCTGGATGATTCTTCTCTAGCCTAAGGCTTCATAGACTCGAGGGAATTTAGCACTGATTCTGTCAAAGGAGTGATTGCAGAGGGGCTGCAGTAAATCACCTGAGATTTAAACTCATGCTAATTTTGGATGTAAAAGTCTCCAAAGTGTTAAATCAAAGTAGCTTTGAAAAACAGGTTAAGAGCCATCCTTACATTCAAGTATAGAGAAGGATAATAAAAAAAAGAAGTCTTTTCAAAAAATGGTAAGGAGAGGTTTTAATTCTTTACCTTGGCAATACATCAAAACCCTAATTACAATGAACTGCTTCCTCATACAGTAAGTTTCTTTATTTTAAATTGCTTTTTCTGAATTGTTCAACCATTTTGACTGTTTGGCTAACTGAAAATCCTTTTTCCTTCAATAAATTGAAGCAAGCAAGCTTAAAATGCCCTTGCTATCAATTTAAAATATTCAAGTAAAGGTACTGAATCTTCCACTAATTATTTTATAATTTTCATACTCTAGGTCTTTCTAGTTTTCCATATTACAATGCTAGATGTTTCTAAAACAATACACACATTTCTGTGATGATATCATGAACACATATCAGAAGGCCTCTTCTAAAGACTGAATTCAGAGAGCTCAATAACACTATCTGGCAGAGCAAATTCTCAGCCACAGAGCAGTACTTTTTAAACAGAATCATCACTACTAGCTGTGCATTTTCAACAGCAATGAACAAGAGCCCACATTCTATGCTTGTAAAGATCTGCACCAGTGGAAGTGACACACTGTTATTGGCACTACTGCTGAAACACACCATCCACCTTCTTGCTGTGCTCACATCCACTGTTTAATCTTCATAAACATTCAGCAAACATCAGTGAACATCAGTGGGAGCAACTTTTTCTGCATGGAGGAATTTGATGACACATCATTGCTTCATACACACTTCCATTTTGGATAGCATTGTGTCAGACTGCCCCTTTCCTGCTATCTGTTGCACAGCAACAAAATGGAACAGAATACTGGTGAGCAGTTCAACCTTTACTGCAGTATTACCAGCATCTGCCTCTGACACTGTGGACAACACAATAAAATGGGAGGCATTAAATTCAGAGCAGCCCTCATATTTTAGTAGGTCACCGGATATACTCAACTTGCTGAATCTGAAAAAGGACAAACTATATTCACACAGATTGAAGGATAATTAGATTTGCTTGTGTTTACTTATCCATCAGGATTTTTACAAGATTAGTACATGTGTGCTTCAACTACTCTTGGTATTTTCCCATTAAGCTTTTGATGGTAGAACAATTGACTATGAGGAAAAAGTATTTTTTCTTAGCAAATTTCTTGCTCCCAAAGTAGACCAACATGCCCAGAAACTGCAAGAAGCAGTAACTCTGTCTACATGAAAAGTAAATGTCCATCTAAGTATAATTAGGCTGATATCATTTAGATCTTCAATTTACTCACAGTGTGAGTAAATCTTTTCAATCCTTTCCAAAATATCTGAAGACAGTCTGTATTCCCAGCTTTCAATTCAGTAATGATAGGCATTTAAGCCACATGTACATGGGCTGTTATTGCTTGTTACACAATTGATTACCCTTCATTTCTATGGCTGTGTAGAAATAACAGCTTGTTTTGTGTTCATGTACATATATTTATATAAATTGTAATTTCCAGCACCACATTCAAAAAAAGATATTTTCAAACCAAACTGATTCCTCACAATTTGTGACTTGCTTTTGAGATTTTTAAAATTAAGAATAATTGGAATTAGAATAAAGATATATTCTTTAATTAATGGAGAAAGACAGAGAGAAAAGGAGTGTTAAACAGCCATTTGGCTACTCATCTAGCAGTTTTCACTCATATGTGCTCAGTTTTTATGAAAGTTCTCCTTATCAAGCTTTATGGAAATCTTCCACTGACTTCACTGGGATAGTTTAGACTAGCACTCTTTTTTCCTGAAAATTTATCAAAAATTGGAGATAAGCACACTTCAGAAATCAGAAAACCAGGAACTCTAATACATCATTGAACACCTGCTGTGAAAATTTGCAACTCCACATAGAAAATCAATGTGCTTTCTACCTATTGCAGGCTACGGAGATAATGAAAAAAAAAAATTGATTGCCATATACAGGCTCATAAAATAAAAGTTACCTGAAAGTGTGAGGAAGCAAGCACCATTTCTCAGGACTTATTCAAAAGACACTTCAGACTTTTACCCCATACATTTCCAATTTTTCATAGTGAAAATAAAGTATTGTGAGCATTAGAAAGAAAAATGACTTAGTGATCCACATTAGTGAACCATTACTTCTGCTTAAGCTTTTAGATGAATGTGATATCCTTTGCTCTTGGGGCTAGAAAGACCTTTGCTCAAACTCTGTATAGCCATTCTTGTGTTCCTCCATTATCTGTTCTCACTCTTTGGATTTTATTTTAAGGTGGAATTCTGATGGATCTTTTGAACTTGAAGAACACAAATCAGGATTTAGAACTGTTTATAAAAATGGGAAGTAGAAATATTTTCAAGTTTGGTACTTTAATAGTGAATCAATAATGGGGGATAAATACAGGTGGCAGGCAAACATCTGTAAGAGTGCAGTGATGCTGTATGTGTAGGAGGTGGCTCAGGAGCAACACTAATGATATGTGATGGACTGAGAAGATGGCTGTGGACTGTAGATGTGTCAGATATCTGCAGAACTTGCCCTCCAAACTGGTTACTCAGACAGTCAGCTGAAAAGTCTCTGGTGAGTACATTGAGGTGTCAAGAAAAGGAGTAACAGTGAACATCCTTTGAAATCTGAAGTATAGATATAGCTGGGTAAATAAAGTGCTTCATACATTTTCAGCACAACTTCTTTTTTTTATTAGTTAGAAGGAACTAACTATTGTATGCCTAAACTGCCTCTGGGGAATGCTGTGTCAGTAACCACACTTCTTTAGGTTAAAAAATAAATAGCTTCTTGCTATATGAAGAAATTCATTATTATGGGGTCATGGTGGATATATCCATACTGAGCTAATAGACAGGGAAAACAGGAACCCAGAAAATCTATCCTATTTCTGCATTCCTTAGGCCATTTTCTTTAAAAACAACTATCTCCAACAGCTGTGGAGATAATACTGATCAAAATGAATCTTATTTACACTGGAAAATCTTATGCTCCTATCCTTAGCATGGTAGGTAAACAACTCTAGCAAGAGTTATATTTACTCTGTTAAGAGCATGAGCTACAGATTAGAAGGACCATATTCAATTTCTTAAAATGTAAAGCCATAACTAATTTCTTTACTTCATCTTTACTTAAATGAGATGCTGAGGCTTTTACCAAGGTGAAGTCCCTTGGTTCCTGTTGTATTCACTTAGCTGGAGGGTCTTCCACTCAAAAAATGTCAAAACTAGTTGAATGTTTAAGCCCTGGAATCCTCATCTGATCTGATAAAAAATAGATCACCTTTCTGGTACACTTGAGGACAAGCAGAATGATTGCTTTATATACTCAATGTCTGTTTGAATGACAGTGCTTTGATCTTCACCTGGATCCCCTGGCTACCATGACAACTATGACGTATGATGCAGCACATCTGACATTCTCCTGATCTGTTCATGGATTGTTTGCTTTTTCATAAGCTAAAATTAAAAGTTGACAGACAGCAGACCTGAGATCTCTCTGCCTATGAATACGAGGTATGTGAAAGAAAGATTAAGGGATGGGAGTGCATGAAAGTGAGGGGAAGCAGATTATTGTATGGAGCAGAAAGCACAAAAATAAGTTTTACATTGTGAGCAACAGCTGAAGTATAGAGTATATAAAATCAAGTTATTGCAAATCCTCCTAGAAGCTGTTTCCATGCACATAAAGGTCAAGGACTTGATTGGAAACAGCACAGATCCACCAGGGCAAATCATGTGTCCCCATGATGAGGTGGCCAGATGAAGTAATCTGGTTATAATGACATGACTAGCTTCACCGTGAATAAGAAAAGCATAGGATGCAATTTACCTTGACTTTAGCAACACTTTCAGCAATTTCTACATCAGCCTGTGAGAAAGTGGGGCTGGGTAAGTCAGTTACAAAGCCTAAAACTGAAATAGACTGTCCTGTGACTAATGATTAGTGGCTCTTTACTAGTGACATTCCCTACCTTAAGACTGTGTCATTTATTAAGAACCTTGACAGTGGAACATACAACATGCTCAGTAAATCTGTGGAGGATGCCAGACTGTTGGTGAGTAGTCAGTATGGTGGAGGGCAGGGCTGTTATTCATAGGGACACTGAGAAGATGGAGAAAGAAGGTGACAGAAATCTCATGAAGTTTAACAAAGACATGTATCCTACTGGAGAGACAAAACTGCCCATGCAGCAGTGCTGTGCACAAACCAGTTTAACAGGGAAGTGTCTGCAGCATCAGGTTGAATGTGTGGTAGCAGTGGGCCCTCTCAACAAAAGTGGATCCACAATACCGGTTTGTGTTAGCAAGAGCATAGCCAAGGCATTGTGAAAAATGGTTATTTCCCTCAAACTGTCACTTGTGGGCTCACATCTGGAACGCTGTGTTCAGGCATGGGATCCAAGATAATGACAATGACAAGCTGGGCAAGTAAAGGGCCATAAAGGTTCTGAAGGCACTGAAGACGTGATATACAAATTGAAACTGAGGAATATTAATATTTTTGGTCTGGACAAGGCTAAATGGAGTTCTAACTACTGTCTTCAACTACATAAGAAGAGATCACAGAGGAGACAGAATAAGACTCTTCTTTGAGATGTACATCTGAAAGGTACTGTTGGCAAGTGTTGCCAAGGAAGACACTAATTAGATAAAATAAATTTTAAATAAGTTCTTTGCTGCAAGAATGATTGAACATTGCAAGAAAGGCTGTGGAACCCCCATCCCTGGAGATTCTCAAAACATGACAGGGGACGTGATCATAAAAAATCTTGTCTAATTTTGAAACTACTCATACTTTGAGCAGGTGATCTCCAAAATAAATAATAATAGTAATAAAACATTCATTCCAAACTAAGCAATTCTGTGTTTCTATAGAGTATTACTTGCCATTTCAACAGACTTCTAACTGTCCACTTTGGGTTTGTGGATTGTTAATTTTGAGAAGTTCAGCTTGAAGGAAGAAAGAGTAAAGTACAGTCCTTGCTACTGTGTTGCATTTTGGAACAATCTGGAGATAACATGATTACAATTTGTTTTATTTGAAGACAGAGTTCAAACAGTTGGAATATTTAAAATACTGTATTATGCAACTGGTTGCTTTCTCAAGGCTGTTTAACATCAAGAGCATGTATCCCAAACATAATATACAAGTTCTGACTGCATTTATGATATTTTCCTAGACACAAAAAGAAAGACTTTTCTTGTGTTTCTTGTAGTTGGAGAGGTTACCATAATGAAAAAAACGAGATATAATGAGGCTTGGAGAAAGGGAGCTAGACAGTTGAATAGTTTACGCAGCAAGAGCCCTTAGCTATCTTGTTTAAAATAGGCTTTACTTACTTTTTTGGGAATGCTTCCTAGTTCCTGGACTTCACTATGATATTTTGAAGAAGGTGTACATTAGAATGTGATTGTCCTGATGAGGCGAATATGGGTCTAAGATCTTAGATCTCTGATCTAAGAGAGAGCTAAATCTTTTCATCACAAAAGATCAGAAATCATCATTATAACACATATAACTTATTCAAGATAAACTGAAACATAAATAAAATATTTACCCATGCGTTTTCAAATATCTCCAAGCACTTTCAATATTGCCACCACCACATCCATGTTGATTCCTGGTATCGCAAGAGATCAGGTTCTGAACAGAAAGGTTGTCTGTGATTTGGCCATCAGAATGAATTGTTATTCTATCTGCTGCAACACCTGTTTTGAAATAAATTGTGTTATCAAAACCAAATAATTACTCAGAACTTCTTAGTGGTTGTTTTGAAAGAGTGACTGAAATACATCAACACTTTCTGTCTGGGGACATATTTTTACAAGACAATTGGGATATTATATATAATAGGATATCATTATGGATATACAGGATATACGTTAGGAAATCCTACTTTTCTGAAAGAGTGGTCAGGCACTGGAATGGGCTGCCCAGGGGGGTGGTGGAGTCACCAACCCTGGAAGTGTTCAAGGAACTTTTGGATTTTGTGTTGAGGGACATGATTTAGTGAGTACTATTGGTGATAGGTGGATGGTTGGACTGGATGATCTTGAAGGTCTTTCCCAGAGTTGGTGAACTCTGTGATCCTGTGATAATATAATATATGTATACTATATAATATATATAATATACAGTATTATATATATATCTATATATAACATATAATATGATATTGTATAACAATTTTAAGAGTGGTAAAAATGTAAAGTACCATAAGGAACTTATTAGTAGATATACTAGTATATAATTAAATATCAAACTAGATATTTACATGATTTCATATAATAATCTCTATATTTGTACTTGCATATTCATCTATAGTTAAATTCAGCAGAAGATATGAGGGCTGCTCTGAAAGTAATGCCTCCCATTTTATTATATGGATCCAGAACAATAGAGGTGGATGTTGGCAGCATGGCTGTAGAGGTTGAATCTTCCCACCAATATTCGATTACATCTTGTTGCTGTGTGACAGATGGCAGCAGAGGGGCAACCTGACACAATGTCATCTGACGTGGAAGTGCGTATGAAGCAACAGTGTAGCATTTAATTCCTCCATGTGGAAAAAATTGCACCCATTGATGTTCAGCGACATTTGCTTAATGTTTATGGAAACCAAACAGTGAATGTGAGCATAGTGAGGCAGTGAGTGGTGCATTACAGCAGTGACAACAGTAAAATGAAAGATAAGCCACGTTCTGGATGGCCATGCACAAGAGTCACACCACAAAATGAAGAGTGCCTCCATCAGCTCATCTGCACAGATCGACGAGTGGTGATGCATTGCATTGAAAAATAGTGCTTTGTAGCTGACAATCTGCTCTAGCAAATAATGTTACTGTGATCTTTATATCTGTTGTAGTTTCCAATGGAAATAAATAGGAAACGTAAATTTTGGAGCAAACTACATACAAATATTTCCCAACTCTCTGCAGCTGAATTTCTGAAGCTCTTTTCTTTCTTTTTTATATCCATTCCTTTATATGAGGAGGAGAGAAAAACAAAATAGAAAGAAAATATTAATTGGAAGTAAGTAGATGCTTAAGTGGAGAAAATATGTGGAATTACTCATATTAAGGTGTAATGTGGGATTCACATAAAATTATCTTTCTGATAAAGTTGAACCACAGATGTCTGAACTAGATCAGATAGTCATGATTCTAAGTTCTTACATATTTATTCATGGCTTAAAGACAGACAGATTAACTAAATTGTAAGTGAAATTAAGACATCTCCTTATGCTGTGATTTGAAGAACCAGAAACCTGCATCAATCAGGACCTGTTGTTCAGATCAAGTCAAAGTTTGACTGCATAATTTTTTCCTCTATCTGTAGATATCTTAATATGTACTGAGATTTACTGCTACATAGAATAATTAACTGAACTGATCACTATAATTTGATTGAAAAAGTGACACAAACACACATGTCCACTTTTCATAAAACTAGAGGTTTTATCACATGATGTTGAATTGCACTACTGACATTGGTTTATTTACAGAATTAGAGAATAGGTTTTTTTCCACAAACACCTGAGAAATTTCAGAGTCTTCCCAAAATCACTGAAAAGTTTACACTTTATTACTTGAATTTCAAGGATTAGACAATGGCAAATGCACAGATATATATGTGTATATGTATATATAAAATGACATCTACTTGTTTTAAAACATTCAAGTCAAGCAAAGAATGTAGATGAGTAAGAGTCACTTCGTTCTTAATGATAAACTGCACCAGTGGCTTTATTCCTACACCCTGTCACAAAAGAAGTCTCCATATGATACAAAAACTTATGAAAAGCAAAGGAAAATCTCTATAGCTTAAATTGGGACATCTTAGAATGAAAAGTGTAGCAATTTCAATTGTTAATTTTTGCTAATAAAAACTGAGCAGAAAGTTCAAATTACTTGATTACTAATCAAAATAAGTTTTCATTATACATTTAATATACATAATATTTTTGAAAGGAGGAAAAAAAAAAAAAAAAAAAAAGAAAGATCATTACTTGCGGTTGAAAATGCCCAGGATGCTCCACAGTTTCGTTGGTCCAAAGGATCATGAATCCAATCAGGCCATGCATAAGTGGCTGCAAAAAACTCAGGAAATTTTTCTTCCAGAAGGGAGCTTCCCTAAAACAAAATGCAGTAGATGTATATCTGCTTCATTTCCTAACTTTGTCTTCAAAATGATCCCTTTTTTGTTTTAAATATTCATAATGTTTGAATTGAGGAAGCCTCAAGCATTGGCAGCTGTGACTTGCCAAGCATTTATGTGGTGGTTGCCCTGTGCCTGGGTACTGTGGGTGCCCTGAGAGCTGAAGGCTTTCTGGCACTCCAGTAGCTGTGCTGAAAAGCTGAGCTGTACAGCTGCCAATCTGAGTAAACTGTCCAGTTTTTATCTGATTTTTATCTCAAGCAACATTTCCCTATGAAACACGTCAGTTATGACCCAGCTGACATTTTTGGAAGGAAAAGCATTCTGCTGCAAACAGTAATGAAGTTAGGAACATGTTACCCTATTCATCTTGACATGCTTTCCACTTGGCTGGAAATAGGAAATTCTAGTTACCAGTGGGGAATCAGCGGAGGGTAAATTCATTGATTCATCTTTTACACAGAGGTTTTTCAATTTCCAGCACTTATTCTCATTCCAGAATGAAAACCACTGATTTTCTTTCTGCTTTGCAATCTGAGGTTGAGTTGATATGAATTCATGGGCTGTTCAGAAAAAATGTTTTGAACAGTCATTTTTTGCATACTTTTCTCTCTGTTTTAATTTATGTCCTGTAAGAATTGCACAAATACCCACATATGCAGGAGCCATCTGGTACAGCTGCTAATAATCTGCCCTATGTTTGACATAACAAAAACACTAAACAATTAAAAACAATGAAATAACTTTATGGACAGTGCTTATACTGCACAAGAAAAAAGGAATGGCCACACAGCCACTCTGGACACCCAGCCTAGAAATTTGTCTCAAACAATTGCTCAGAGCAACTATTCCAGATGAAAACACAATATACGAATATGAGATCCTGCTCCCAAACAAAACACTCCCTGATAATTATTTGTTACTAGCAAGATCACATGTGGAAACAAAGGCTTCTATCCTATTAAAAAAATCCTTGATTTTATTTTGGTTTACTTATCCTTGTTCTTCTGATTCCCAATGTCCTTGCTGGACAATTACTCTGAATTGCCTGTGTGGCTTACAAGACCAGATGCCTGTTCCTTAGACAATTTAAATATTTGAGCCCAGTTCTTACAAGCTCTTTTAGGACTACTTGGGAAATAAAACTTTACAACTTTGGCTGTGTCCACATGATTTTCTGGCATGCACTGGGAAATAGTAACATCTTCATACAGTTTGTATATGCTGATTTTCTTCCCGCACAAAAATCAACAGTTGAGAAGAAGTGGGTGAGGGAAAAATAAGCTTGTGTCTCAGGTCTTCATCAGCTATGAAACTGGAATCAGTCACAGCAGATGGATTGATACCATCTCTGCATGCCCCAGACCTTGTGATTCTGAAGCATTTGAGATTTATGAAGTTTACATACAGGCTGAGAGTCCAAAATACCATTACTCACTTTTAAAGTATATTGCCAATGCTTAATTCATTTCTATTCATCTGAAAGTTATACCTTCACATGTAACAAATCAGTAATATTAATCTTGCTAAGATATTAATATTTTCATTAATCGCAATCAGAATTCTGCTTTCTTCAAAATTTTGAAGAAATATGGGACTTGCAGCCACAAATGACATGAACAAAAATTCTGCAAAGTTAAATATCTCACTTAATCTCGCTTAATTAATAATGATCTTTCCAGGTAGACATCAAAGCAAACAAAATCACAGCTCTAAAGCTTCCAGCAACAGAAAGCTGCACTTAAAAGATCCAACCCCTGCAGAAGTGTTTGGTGTTTTATAGATGTGGAAGGATGAAACTGCAACCATGGAGTCACTGCAGTCTCTTTTGCAGGATGGTTTCCTGAAGTCAGAGGGAGATGTACTGACTCAAGACAATGGCATGGAGCTTCACCACGGGAGATAGGGTTGGGTGTTAGGAAAATGTCCTTCACCAGAGGAGAACAGGTTCCCCCCGGGCAGCGGGCACAGCCCCAAGATGCTGAAGATCAAGGAGAATTTGACAATACCCTCAGACATAAGGTTTGATTTCTGAGTGCTCCTGTGTGGAGCCAGGAGCCAGACTCAACGACCTTTGTGGGTTACTTCCAACTCGAGTTATTCTGTGATTCTGTGATTCATGAGCAAGCACAAGCACAAGGTTGACTTTGAAGAATAATTGTACTGACAAAATCCCAGATTAATAATGTTTCATAATCTGCTCATATCAAGAATAAATAAGCAAAATTTGGCAAACGTTGTTAAGCACACTATCTTGAGCAATGACCACTTACATTCTGAATAAGGTAGATGAGAAAAAGAAAATTCATAATAGATCTTTGGTCTGAGCCAATGTGTTAACTTACATAACTCTTAAGCTACTGCCAATGTATTTAATAGCCTCAAATTGTAAATCCTAGAACAAATCCTTCATTAGCCTTCAGCCCTGCCATTGTGAAATGCAGGATTGACCTGTAGCCAGAAATATTAGCTTTTTGTCTGAGTAATTGCTACCCTAATATTGAGAAGCTAATATTGTTGTTCTGTGACAAATGGTGAGTCCAGACAATTGTTTCTCAACGTATTCTCCATAATCCATCATTACACAGCACAATGGAATCAGGAAAATGACTGGCAAACTCTTTTAAACTTTCACGTTTTCTGTGCAGTGAATACGTGTGAAGGTTTAAAAGAGTTTGCCAGTCTGGGCAAAAGAGGAAAGTTAGGAGTTTTAAAGGAATACTTAGACTTCACCTACAACTTCAGAGGAGTTAGATGGTCCATCAGAGGAAAAAAAAGCCTGAAGATAACTGATTTTGCAAATTTGGGAATAATGAAATAGCTTTGTTTTGTTTTGTTTTCTCCAAGAGAAAGCAATGTTTTTTCTTCCTTTCTTTCTTTCTTTCTTTCTTCTTTTTTTAAACACAGTATTCTATTTATTCTTTGGTGTTGAAAAGAAAAAGAGGAGTTTTCAAGACATCACAAGCCTTTGTAAAGGCAATAGCAGAGTTTTTAAAAGCCCTGTAAGTAACTGCAAAAAGCTTCTGTTTTCCCTAAGAGGAAATGTACCTCTGTCACTCAGTAATGTTGTGAAAGCAGATTTGCAGTTGGATATGTCAGTCAATGAAACAACAGAAAAACCTATACTCTACAAACAAATACTGCTAAGAACTAAAACTCTGCTCTGGATATGAAATGATTAACACAGAAGTACTTTACAACCTGGAATCTTTTTTCCCCGATACAAATGAGCAAAGAGTCCTTTCTATACAAAATCCTGTTTCTCTCAAGACACAATGGAAAACAGCAACCTCTTAGTTACCAGGTGCTGTCATTTATTTCCGAGACAGTAGCATGCTGAAGAAATGGTTTTTATTTCAAATCAGAAAGTGTGGCATTTAATGAATGGAGAACTATAGTTTTCTTTCTCTTTCTCTTGGCAAAGCTAGCAGCTTTTAATCAGATCAGCACTAACTAGAGCCAAAAACTCTCAAACGCTAATTGTGACATTTTTATCAGCTATGTATGTGACTTCGGGCAAATGACTCTCAGTTTTCTCACCTGCAAAATGGGAAAGACAGTAATAATCCCAGAGAATGCAAAAAACATTTAATTAGCCCTTTTTATGTACAGTAAGTAAGCAGTTCCCCGGCCTGCAGGTAAATTAGTACTCAACAAGGTCACTTGAAGGCCAAACCATTAAGGTTTGAATACAGTCTCGGAAAATAGATTTTTAAAAAAAATTCATTCCTGTATTTCTCATCATTGATGCCTTTTTACTCTCTTCTCAGCTGTCACCTGGATACAAAAGATTAATAGAAACACTTTAATAAAGCTTACCTGGTTTTTATTACTTGGGTCTTTTTAAAAAGTATTGGTATGCTTCACAAAATATCAGAAAAAAAGTCATGGAAGGGGAAGCAGAAGTTGATCCTATGACTGCTGTTGGTCTGTCAATTGAAAGAAATTACTTCTACCCCTGGTGAGCCTGATCCACACTATGAAATTGCGGGATCATGTTGTGACAATGGATATTGGGACAGCTATGAAGAAATGCTTTACCACATCTTCACTCAGTAAATATTTAAATCCTGATAACTGCCATTTCACATGGAATTATCTACTGATGCAATTTTTGCTTACATGAGTAGAGGTATTTTTTTCTTACATTTATGGAAAGTATTAAAATGTGTCAGACAGAAAATTTCCTGAGACAGAACAAAGACACTAAAGAGGTGATGTTCTAGAAAACTACAGAATAGGACAAAATTAGAGAGTTTTGAAGCTTCACAGCAAGTTTCAGAGAAAAATATTTTTACATCAAAACAATCCAAGACAGAAACCCTAGGGTATGAATAAGAAAGTTTTGATACTTCTGAAGAGAAATCATAGGTTGGAGATGGGCTTCTGTATAATTCAGACTGATTTTCTGTATGTTCAGAGCTCTGGAGAAACTGGAAAAGTCATGAAGGTGTTATTACTTTGTATTTTTAGCAGTGAGAAAGATTTTTCAGGCTCCTGTGCAAAGCATGTGCCTCTAGCAACTTCCAGGACTTCTTGAGGGTTAAATGGATAAATGCATGGAGTTAGATTTCAGAGAATGCATTCAAGCTCCTGGAAGTTTCTGGAAGGGCCAAAAATAGTTGAGTTAGGGCTGTCAGATTTTATAAGAAGGTAGCATTGGAGAGCATGTGCCTGAGAAATGCACCTGTGGAAACAAGGCCATAAGTAGTGCACCAGCCAAAGAAGCTACAGGAAACTTAACAGCAAAGAATTAATGGTCTGGATATAATGGAAGAGCACTGTGTGAGCAGCTAATTCAAACTGAATAGAAGAGAGGAAATATGGAAAATATCTTATTTTACCCTTCCTTTTCTTGTTTCCCTAGATGTTATTTGTTTAACGTGGGAATAGGCAAGTCAGTGTAAATGTCAGTCTCTGAGCTAGGTGCAATATACCCACTTTTTGTTCCTGCCATACAAGCCTTACATTCTATTTCTCAAAAATAAAAGTAAACAACAGTAAAAATTAACTCAAATTTTCTTGAATCTCAATGTTGAACAACAGCAATTTGCACCAATTCCCCCACACAGTAAATATTGCACTGAAATCTGTTATGCCATTTTCTTTCTTTTTTTTTTTTTTTCTTTTCTTTTTGACAGAACATTTTCAAATGAAATCAATCCTTCTTTGGCTGAGAAGAGTAGTCTAGCAGAGTGCATGAGGCAGATTGCCAAAGCCCAATTTCTGTCAACTTCTGGCTCTGACAATCCTCTTTGGTATAATTTCCAGCAAGCCAGTCTTTTGCTTCAAGAAAAAGAGTTAAGGTTGTGAAAATTATTGCACATGATCCTCTCCCTCTTTCCCATATACCTTGCCAATTGTTAGCTAAGCACTGCTGTCCCTGCAACTCCTCCCATTTGGAAACCCATCTACTTTATCCATAAAAACAATCAATGACAACTGACTTCCAACAGATATTCCAATGGCATCATTTGCCTGAACTATGTAAAAACCAAAGGCCAAAATGCGTTACTGCATTTTGCAAATCTTTGATCTATCTACTTACTCCTTAGTTTCAAACTAAAAGAAGGGAGATTTAGATTCATTATTAGGAGGAAATTCTTTCAACAGAGAATGATGAGGCACTGGAACAGGTTGTCCAGAAAAGCTCTGGATTCCCCATCCCTAGATGTTTCAAGGCGAGGCTGGATATGGCTTTGAGCAACCTGGTCTAATGAAAAGTCTCCCTGCCCACAGCAGGTGGTGGTTGGAACTAGATGATCTTTAAGGTCCCTTCTAACCCAAATCATTCTATGATTCTGATAAGTGAATATTAGTGCACAGTTTCCCAATGTACAGCACTTTCTTTTACTTCTCCTTGTTTGATACTGATGGATATAGCCACACTTTCTATGGATAGGAAAACTATTCTAGGACTTTCACATGCAACGTGGAGGCACTTAGTCCTTAATACCTTAATCATAATCTTATAATTGTCCACATTGTTTTCCAAAAAATTAAGTTATTAAAAATAAATAAATCAATAGCACACAATACATACTGGAATTGCTTTCATATTCAGCAAGGAATGAGATGGAGGTAGTGTGCCCAAGCGCTTTCTGAAACCTTCTTCCAGTGTCATGCCCCAGAACTGAGTATAGTTGTCAGCTTTCCATCTTCCTCACAGACAGAAAACAAGCAAACAAAGCAAGGTTAGAGACACTGTTCATAATATCTTCTCCTCTACTCCTTCTTTAGAAGAGCATCACTAAAAATAACATCCAGAAATAAATGTTTCAAATTATGTTTCAAGACATTCTATTAGATACGAATGAGGCTATTCCTCTGTGGGTAAATGTAGGCTGGAAGAACACGATATGAAAACTGGTGATTTGAGGTCAGCATCGTATCAGCCTTCAGCAGATGAGTATGCAATGCTTCAGAGAAATACTAGAAAATAAGGTGCTCGATCAAAGCAATTAAAGTTGTCTTGAAGTTGTGCTCACATAATGCTTCAAACCAGGTGACAACAGCTTCACACAGTGGGTTACATTGCCTTCAAATGCTGAAACGCCAGCAGTAGTTATGAGACACTGCTGACGCAGCAGAAAGCCCAGCTGTTCTGCCTGTTCTGCACCAAGATTCAGAGAAAGGGCTGCCTTTAAGTACTCCCTCCCTGCTCTATCTGAGGAAGGTAGGCCAAACTCAGAACCTAGCATTAACCCCTTCAAAACATATACACAACAAAAAAGAACTCACATTTATACACATTTGGAGCAAACTAAAATTGTGTGCATTACTGGAGAAGGCCTGAGTCAAGGGGAGGGTGCTCTCTTTACCCATTTATTTCTTGCTTGCTTGTGTATGTGGAAGACAGGTAGAATTCACACTCCCTAAAGGAGAAGCCTTGTTACTCAGCCTGCCTGTAGTCACTGAGAATATAAACACCTGCAGAATCTAGTCTCTCAGGTGGCCTTAACTACCCTGTGGCTGCTGGTACCCAACTCGATTGTCTATCCTACCTCCCTTAGTTTAAATCTCTCCCATCAAGTACAGTCTGTTTCAGCACAGAGTCACAGTTTGAAACCTGAGCACTTCCATAGACTTCATTAGTGAATTTAGCACCTCAACTTCTAGGCAGGCAATCTTCCAAGGCACTGCTCTCCATTGCAAGGAATAAAAACTGGTAGCAAGAAAACCACTGATATCTCACAAAGTTCTGATATCTTGATCCCTTTGGCCTATTCTCCCTTCTTCCAATACTACCTGGTATGGTTCTGGTATGTAGCATGACCTTCTGGAAAGTGGGCAAGAAATAAATAAATATATGAATATTTCTCCTAACTATTAAAGTGAAGAATAAGGAAGATGTTCTGAAGAGCATTTTGTGAGCAAAAGAATTATAGTAATTTGGAGAATATTTTAGATAGGCATTTCCAATATTGACTCTTACCAGGATGAGATTTTCAGTATCTTTCTATTTTAAAATCTCTATTTTGCTACAGTTTTAGAAGTTTCACAGATGTACATTTACTATTGCATAGTACATAGGATGTAATTGGGGAGGGGAGGGGCAGAGAGAACCATATAACTTGTAATTTGCACTTACATGCTATGAGCTTTCAAGTGGATCACAACACTTTGGCATTTTTTCTATTAAAAAGCTTTACTATTACAGCACTATAATACTTTTACTTAAAAATAGAAGTATTCTCACCCGTAATCTCCAGAATTGATGCGGTGAATCAAGTCTGGGCGAACAAGGCATACTTCATTTGAACACTTCCAGTTACTTTGGATGCATTTGCTAAAAGGGCAAGAATATAATTGAGCAGAAAATGAATCGTACTTTTACAGTAGAATGAAGAATGGGGAAGAGGAAAAGCCTAAACTACAAATGTCACAGTAAAAACAAAATCATGCGTAGTGCCAGTTCACTAACTAATGAATCCTAATTGGAATGAGATGGTAAGGTTACAGCTTGTGGAAAATCTCATCTTTGACAAAATTTGCTTCCATTTCTGTGAGGTCAAGCCAGGGAGAAAAGAACGATGTACTGAAAATTAGTTTTTTTGCTCAAGTTCCACTTTGGAGAACCAGAAAGGAGCTCCATGGCTATAGACACCTTTCTCCAGGTATCTTGAGACAAATTCAGGGCAGGTGGAGCACAAGCCCTATTTGGATGTTCCTGGAGCACATTGGGCTGTCCTGACTTCAGAGGTACAAGGGACCACCTGCTGACTGCCAGGGATGGCAACAGAGCATCCCTGCTGTTCCATCTGATGTCCCAGGACAGAGAATGGGGTGTTCAAACAGTTCATCTATTTTCTACATAAGTTAAATTCTCCCCTTTTAACATAAAATTAGAGATGATCATTTTTGCCAAAGTAATAGAGGAAGCTGCTATAAAAATATTCCTCCAGATTTTAATAATGCCAGTTTTCTGTGTATTCAGGTAAGTTTACAGACCTGTGATGAAACCATTTCAACTCAGAGCCAGTATACTGAACAGGAACAGAACTTAGGTCACTGAGGGGGAGACATTAATAATCATGTTTTCATGTCTTGATTAGAAAGTCCATCCTCCTTCACCATTCTTTTATGTTGGCTGTAGAACAATTCTATGATTTCTTAATACTGTACTACTCTTCCAACCATTGATTAAGTTAAATATGAATTTAGGGATGCTAACCAAATTAATTCTTATTTCATGATATATGCTAAAATAATTTCAATTTTGTGTTCTCTGAAACATTACCAGGAATTGCAGTTGTCTTTAATTATTGCTCCTTCTCCGTAATATCGGCCATCTTTATAACAACCTGCCAACATAACATATAGACATGTGAAAAAAAATTGTTCTTGAAGTCAGTTAACTCAAAACTCTTGCTACTATTGAATTAATTGTTTTTATGCATTGTATGTAATATTATGCAAGCAATGTATACATTACTTAAGCAAAAGACAGTATTTTTCATGCTTCCTCTACAGATACTAGTAAGCCTAAAGTTACAAATGAAGATCTCCTTCGTTGACATGAAAGAAATATTCACCTCTAAGCCATAATTAATTTTATACCACAGTGCAGAAGTGGACTAGAGATGATGAATTAATTATAAATGCCTATTTCACCCTGTTAATCATGCAGCAGACTGCATGAACTAGCACAGACATAGGTGAGATATATCTCACCCAAGCACTGTGAGGCCTGAAGTTTCCGCTCTAATTCAATTTCTGCTATCAGCAGAGACATTTCTCAGAAAATACCCAAGGCAAATTACTGAAGTGTCATGACTTGCCATAGAGTGCCCCAGTGCCAGGATCAGACAGTAGGTGAAAGTAGGCATCAAGCAAGATATTTCATTTACAGCCAGAGAAGGAAGTATTAAAGCGTTGTATCAGCGGCAGGAGGAAGCCCCACTGGAGCTCTGCTGGCAGCCCTCCCACCCACACTCAAGAAAAAATGCAAACCTGAACAAGTACAAAAGAAACTTTCTACTAATGTATGCCTGGGGAATTGAAGATTAAGAACATAGTTCCTTAGCCTAGCAAAATTAGGACTTGAAGGGTCAGGAGTACTTACTGCCTGTAAATGTGTCTAAAGCATCAGCATCAAAAAGTAGAGATATCAAAGCTGAAAGACATCAGCTGCATAAGAAAAAGGGCAGATTGTCCAGCCATCAAGGTATTAGACTGGAATATTAATATTCTGGGAGATATAGTGAGAAATAAGTGGGAAATTATTTCATTTTCAGGTGCATCCTGATGACTTATGTGAAGATTGTGCTTGGAAGGAAGTGGACTTAATAAATCAGGACCTGCCTCTTGGTTCAATCTTCCCAAATTCCTGTAACTCTCACCTAATCTGCCCCAACATCTGTGTAATTAGTTTTGTAACTCAAATGTCTCCAGACATATATCCTCTGTAGGCCAGAGTCGGACTGCACAGTGTGAAATCACAATCTGTGTCTCTTTTGTAACATCACCACTGTGAGATCTAGTGTGTTGGCTCAGATAAAGCTTTTAGTACCATCAGAGTAAGTGAAACAGAAAGATCAAAAAAATAAGTGCATTCTATAAATAAAACTCTAACAGTTCTCCTAAAAAACCACCACCAAATCCTGACTTTCTGTCCAGTGTCTAAGACATACATAACAGGACTGTGTACACATCTTCTCCTGAAACGATACAGGGAAGCCATTGCAGCATACTGAATGCTGGATTCGTAAAGACAAAGTCAAAGCAGTTTCACAAAGTTATCCTTTCAGTGGCCCCCAGCCTGGTGCACATGAATGCTTAGGGAGCACACAATAGCTTACTGTGCCGTGCACCGCGGCAGTGGATAAATTGGGATGCAGAAATGCAGCATTGTGCCCTTTTATTGATATTCCTTCTATCCCATGCAAAGCACTGAAGTTTATTGGTTTGTTTAAAGCAGAATGTGTCGGAAAGCACTGAGAGCTAAACCACAGGCAATAAGAAGATCAAAATCTTCCAGGTGTATGTGGGCTGGTAGTGCCTTAACAATCCTTGGCCAAAGGCAGCAGCACAGTCTCGGTTAGTAAAAGTTAGCCAATACACTTGCAGTGTTTCTAAAAATGCTTCATTGTTTGCTTCATCTTCTGACATTCAGTCTTTTTTTCTCCATTTCTTCTTTCCAATTTCATTCTCTGTTCCCTGTTCCTCAGACACTTCAGTTCTAGAATATTCCTTCTGATTTTTATTTTCTCTTGCTGTATTTTGCCTGCTTTGGTGCTCTCCTTTAATCCTTTAGGTTATTTGTATAGCAAGTATTCAATAAAAAGACTTCAGAAAGCTGAAGATTTTCCATCAACAAAGAAACAAAGCAGGACCAGAAAAACAACAGCTTGTTTTGAAGTGAGATGTAAATTAAATATGACAATACCTCACCTACAGAGCAAATAAAGGAGCTCAAATAGGTAAAATATCATTATTATCTATGACAGGCATGTACAACAGTTATGTAACAGTGAAAAGAGAAGTAAAAGTTGAATTGAAAAAGGCAATAAAAATATTTCACCTCACCAATTCCCTTATCTAAACATCCTGTTACATTTTTACCTGTTGGAGGTACACCTGTCCCGGGACCCAGATGGCAAACTACCACAGATTCTGTAGTGATTTCCTTCCATAGCAGCCTGCAAAACTAGACCCCAAGGCTCTCAGCTCTGGAGCAGAAATAGTGCTTAGAGCATAAGCAGAGCTCATGAGAGCAACTCCCAGTCTGCTGGAAATAATACACAACAGTGCAGCCTACATAAATACAAAATAAATGTCTTTATTTACACAAATTGGACAACGTTCTTTGAGAAGATTAGAAACACTTTGGAAAATCAAGTGTGTTTTGCAGCCTTTAGCATTTTTGGTGCTGTCACTTATCAGATATGGCTGTGTGCCTGGCTTAAGAGCACAGCCTCCTGAAGAGCCTGTGGTCTGACTGCAGGACTGCAAGCAGCAGAGATGCCTCGAAGAAAGAGTTAATTTTTAAAGCTCATGGTGTTATCGTTTCAGTTTTAGGCTGTTGAAAGTTTGGTACAATCTCTACATTTTCAGCCAGATTTATCGTGGTAAGAAGCTGCCTAGGTTTAAAATTCACAATTCTAGACATGTAGCACCAGCTAACTACTAGCACCCTCTGCAGGAACCAAGTGAGGACCAGATGTTTGTAGATCCATTCTGTAATCTTTAGTTACAAAACCAAAAGAATGAGATTAGAGTACTCCTGGGGGAACTTCCACTACAAGCTGAGTAATAAAGCACTAAAAAAGAACAAAATGTTGGCCAGAAATCCTGTCTATTCACATCCCTTCCTCTACTTCTGCATTGAGCTGCTGTAAGAGTGGTTCTGTCCAACAGTTCGGATCTAGCCAACTCTAAAAATACATCCTAGAGACAAAGAAATAGCAGCAAATATAATTATTACTCTGATTTCATATTCAATGCCTTTGTCCACTATATCTGTAGGCACATTTTTAGTATGCATACACTCTAACGATTAATTGGTAGTTTTACTTCCAAGCATATTTTTTGTCATGATGCACTAATGCCATCTGAGCCTTTTCTCCATACCCACCTGATGCTGAAGGTGGCCAAGGCTCATCAGACCTGGTGGGCTCAACGGTGTTCTCACAAGTATCCCAGTAGTCAGCGCAGCAGTCTATGGGGCCAGGAGGACCTGAGGCACAGAACTGGTCACAGTAACATATAGCTGCTCTGGAAGCAATGTTAAAGCTGCAGTCATCATTCCTTCCTGTGCAGCAGCCTCGTATCCTGCAGGACTTGCCCTGATATAGACTCCTTTTCAGCCTGTTCCACTTTGCAGAACCACTGTCTTCAAGAGAATAAAGTTCCTTGGTCAAATTTCTTCTAGCATCAAGCCGCTTTGCCGTCCAAACTTCACTTGCAATGCAATATAAGAGCAAGATCTGACTTTTGAGCCACATTCTTCTGCCTCTAGCCACCTTTTTAAGACTCACTGTTCTTCAGTAACAGTCCATTTACTGTAGATATAATAGCTCCAGTTACTGGTCACAAATCTGAAAAGAATGCAGACTACAGCTTTATTACAAGGACTCTGTATGTGTTAATCATTACTCAGACCTGTTATAAACAGATTTATTTGCCCAAGCTAGAAAAAAAAAAAAAAATAAAGACACAGACTGGAAATTGAGCTATAGCAATGTATCCATAATTATTAAATGTTGGATGCGTTCTTTGGCAAGTGGGAAATTTTCTGGTAAAGGTTTATTATGCAGAATATACATGGCCCAATATTTTAAATGTCTTGTTTTAAATATCTAAAATGAAAACAATGTGAGGAATGAGCACATGGTGTCAAAGGAAGATCTCTTTCCTTCTGGCTTAATTTACCTTCCATGTGATTGGAAACTGTACCAAATTTACATTGCATTTCACCTGCACTTGCCTAGCTGATTTGCAAGGCTATACATCACTGACTGTCACTACAGTAAATATACTCTGCGTGCCTCATTTCAATCTCATTTCCATTGATCTGGCTTTCCTTTACAAGCTTGATTTTACAGTTTTACCATGAGAAAATTTAAAAAGTCAGGTGATATTCAGTATAAGCTATCATCCAAATCTATTATTTTAATATTCACATTTCTTTAGTCAAAATGAACAGAGTAGTATCAGTAACTATAGTAATAAATGCCCACCAATGAGTGTTCATGTTGATTTAAAGAGGAAATTGCTGGAATAATAAAACCAAAAAGAAAAGCCGAGCAGATATGAAAAGACACATGTAATGACCATTGATCCATCAGCTCCAGGTTTTTGGACTACATTCCTGAAGAAATCTGCATGGTCCTATTGCCAAACCTTAAAATATTCAGGGGAAAAAAAAAAAAAAAAGAAAAAAAAGAAAAAAAAAAAAAAAAAGAGCAGCAGAGTATTTTGAAGGTGCTAGGGGTGATAACACATAAGGCTAAATTGCATAAAAATAACATAGTTTGAAAAATAAACAGTTACAAGACAATTTAAATCTTCAAAGCTATGAAAGCAGAGGTAAAAAATAGTCATTCTTCCTTCTCTATTTGGTAGTGAACGAGAAGACCATGAAGAAGTCAACAGCAGGGAGTGGAGGGAGTCTTTCCCTCTGTGATTGCAGCTGGGCTATTCGGTGATGCAGAAGGTCACAGAATCAAAAGGCAGTAATTCTTAAGAGCACAGCTGGCAATACAGCTATCTGGATGCATAGCTGGGAATGGCAGAGACCTTCACGGGGAATATGTGTGTGTTTATGTGCACAAGTAATCCAAAATCAGTTCTTTAATATGATTTCAGTCAGCACTGTTTTCATTGGGCATGCCCCCCACACTGTCTCTGTCACAGATAAAGAACTATGGCTGAGGGAAAATTACATCAGACTACCTGATTTTTATTTTGATTTTTGAAAGCAATTTTCTGAATGGAAGTCAATAGAAAAGGCGAGGTCAGCAGCACGCAGAAATTGTACATGACATAAATCGTAACCTTCGGAGTTGTTGTGTGCTTTTTAACTTAGTTTTGCTTAGAAGGCAAAAATCTGGGCAAAGTTAAGTCTGTCACTGAGTATTATAATGCATCATATAAAAGATAAGGAAAGTTCATCCACGTGTGCTCATGGAAATTCAAATAAATCACTTACTAGAACTGATAATCCTTTTCCTTATGTCTACATGCCCTCTTTCTTCTGTGTGGTTCTAAGCAAATGATTCTTTTGATTTGCACTGCCACTAGCAAAATGAAAATCTTTGCTATAACAGATCTTTGGAAATAATTTTACAAGTGTATGTCCTTACTCTGGTTAAGCAGAGGAAACAAAGAAGGCTACCGTATGTCCATCCCTTGGCATCTGTTCAAGCCTTTTGAAAAAAATCTGTTTTGGTTCAGCAAATATTTCAATTTCAGTAGTTTCGTTTGTAAGAAAAGTAGCTCTCTGTAAATAGTAGAAGATCACATGTTGACTTATCTGTAACTATTTAGGAATTGTTAAATGTAATCCTCATTCTCTATTGAAGATTAACCTATTCCAAGCACACCAGCTCTGCCAAGCTCTTCAATTAGGATCATAGCTGTAATTCTTGTCCTCACAGTTAGGTACAAAGATATCTGAGTCGTATCTCTCTCAGCACTCCCCACTGTCTAGCCTTGAGTTAAAATATACACACCATACACTTGTCAGGAATCCAGAAGTTATTAATGTCACTGTACACTTGGCAAAGCACCAAAATGAAAGGCAGTTTAAAGTGTCCAGGAATCTCTTCCACATCCTTCTTTTATAATTCTCTCTGTTCTATTTGAATGAGCCCACTGGACACCTTAAAATCCCATTCCCAATCACTTTTAGAGCAGTGGTGAAAGCACTGGACAGGCAGATTCTGGGTACTGAGGGTCAATCCCAGCTCAGATCACTGAGCACACCCCACCAGAGAACTATGCTGCCTTTCCTTTGCCTGACTCTCAGCCAGGGCACCAATCCTCAGCTATCTCATTTGCCAGTAGACACAGCTCACTGTATCGAAGAGAACGTGCAATTGCTTATCGTGAGTTCAAATTCTGCAGAGATATAGACCGTCTCTTTCTTTGAACTCAATGGCAACTTAGCTAGTGACACCTTGCACAAAACGCAGCATTGATGTATATACTAGCTGCTATAGATTACCTTTACTACTTCTTAGTATTAATGGCTGCAACGAGTTAAAAATTTTTAAGCCAACCATATCACCAGACGTATTATCTCACAGTTTTCTTTCTCCCATGTACTGGTGGATGAATAGGATTAACCCTTCCAAATAGTATGTACCTACATAGTGTTAAAGCAGAGAAAAGCTGCATTAAAATGTTTTTCTCACTAGGTACCCTATTTAGCAACTGCCTGGCACCTCACTGCTGTGAGTTGTTATCACAGTATCAAGCAGTGCCACTTTTAATTAAAACCTTTCAGGGCTACCTATCTCAGTTCACACCATGATAGCTGGATGGTTACATGCAACTCAGAATTGAGGTCATTGAGATGACAAATAGTATCAGTAGAGTCCTCCCACAGGGCACTTTCCTACGTGCAAACTCTGGGACCAGTGTGTTAAAGTCAAAGCTGGAGAAAGAGAAACTGACCCCAATTGCCCATGCCAAAGAAAACTGGTTCTTCACACACATGCAAATGCTCAAGAAGAGTCAAGGTCCACAGGTGAAAGACTATTTAGAAGGTACCAATTGGTTACTACAGCCTCATAGCCTTGTCTCTCATTGCACCTGTCACGTCATGCCCATGAGGGGAGGGAGAGGTGACCAGCTTTACAAATACCCTAGTTAGATTAAGATGAAAAAATACTCAAGATCTGTACATAAGAGGAAAAAAAACAACTTTATAACAGATTTCTATAAAACAGTTATCCTATATGCATCAGCCCCCTCACAACTATATCTGCCTAAGCTGTGGAGTTCTGTAGGAAGTTCAAGTAAGCCTTACATCACATAACAACTTTAACAGAAAGAGAGGGAAAAAAGAGATAAAAAGGAGGAAAGAGATCACCAGTCCTGGATCAAGCGCCAAGCCTGCCGATGGAGAGCTTCACATCGCATAGAGCGAAGAAGGGAAGCAGCAGCAGTGAGAAGCTGGGCTAGCAGCAGAGGAGAAAAAGGGTCAGGCTGGCATCTCCTATCCCCTATTTATAGTATCAAAGAAAAAAAATGAAGGGACATTCCCCTCTAGCCCCTATTTATAGTTGTTGGCTCCAATTCGAGGATTGGTTGAGACACCAGACACAAGCCAAAACAAAGGTGATGGCCTTCCTGTGACCTGGCCATTTCTTGGAGATTGTTCTGTACTCTTCCAGGAGGGGCTGAGACATAAAATTAAGAGATCCTTCTTTGACAACTGCCTCTCAAGGCATTGTTTGGGCTTGCCCCTTACACCATCACAGCGATTCATTATGCATGCTTCCAACCTCAGCTGTACCCCACAGCCAATCTCCCAGCCCCAAATGATGCCATCTCATGCTCATTGTTGGCCATGCTCCTAAGGCCATAGTTAGCCCACTCTGGATTCAGTCAAGTAAATACATGTGAAGAATGGACCGAACTGAATGTGCATGAACCAGGAAAGTGTCAGTGCCTTCCTCAACAGTCCTTCTCTAGGGTTTGGCAAGTGTGGGAAAAGCAGTCCTTATGTTATGTGAAAAAGCAGGCTTGTGTTTGTATATGAATCTCTCAAAAAACACAGCTGAGGATGGAAATCTTGGTCCCACCATTTGATGGGTCACATGCCACCTTGGTTATGCTTTTATTGAGAGTGTTGTGGACAGATGAGAGTGTGCACGTAGCTCAGAGAGGTGATGCCTGCAGTGAGTTTGCCAGTCCCAGTTTGAGTTCTCACCAGCTGGTTAGAGATGATAGAGAAGGGGAAAGTAACATCTTTCACAGGGAGTATGGATTCTCAAAGGATGTTGTGACACTATTGCATGGCAGATGTATACTCACTCATGTTCATTTCAAATATGAGGCCATTTCTGATCCTGCCAGTGACTGCTGGTACCTTAAGCCTAAATCTTCTGTGACTGTAGAATTATAGAATCATTGAGGTTGGAAAAGACCTCCAACAACATCTAGTCCAACTGACCACCAACCACCAATATTGCTCACTAAGCCACATCCCCATGTCCCACATCTACACATTTGTGGAACACCTCCAGGGACAGTAACTCCACCACCTCCTTGGACAGCCTGTTCCAGCGCATGACCACCCTTTCAGAGAAGCAGATTACAAGGGCAGAAGTAGAGGTGGCTCTCCCAGACTGAACAAATCATCCATGTTTCTTGCATCCAAGCAGGCTCAGAGGTGTTTGGGATACATGCAAGTGTTAAGTTTGATATCATTGCAATGTGAGAGTCACCAGTCCTCTTCCAAAGGAGCCAGCCCAGAGCACTCTCTTCTGTTCATGTTTAAGGTACTCCATGCCATTGCTTTGTGATGAATGACTGGTGTAGAAGTAGAATCACAGAATCATAGAATCCTTAAGAGTTAGAAGGGACCTTTAAAGATCATCTAGTCCAAATCCCCTGCAGTGAACAGGGACATCTAAAGCTAGGTCAGGTTGCCCAGGGCCTGATCCAACCTTGTATTGAACATCTGCAGGAGTGGGGCATCAACCACGTCTCTGGATCTAACCTAAATCTACCCTCTTTATGCTTGAAATCATTTTCCCTTGTTCTATTACCACAGACACTGTGCAAGAGTCAGTCCCCTTCTTTCCTGTAGCTTGCCTTCAGATACTGAAAGGTCACCTCAGAGCCTTCCATTCTCCAAGAGCCTTCCTTCTCTGACCAGCTCCAGCTCTCCCAGTCTGTCCTCATAGGAGAGGTATTCCATCTCTTTGATCATTTTTGTGGCTCTGGACGCACTCCAGCAGGTCCATGTCTCTCCTGTGCTGAGGACTCCACATCTGGATGCAGTACTCCAGATGAGGTCTCACCAGTGCAGTGCTTCCCTTGAATTGCTGGTCACACTGCTTTTGATGCAGCCTGGGATATGGCTGGCCTTCTGAACAGCAAGAGCACATTGCTTCTCATGTTCAGCTTCCCATCCACCAGTATCCCTAGATTTTTTTCATCAGGGCTGCACTCAATGCTTTCATCCCTCAGCTTGTATTGGTAGTGGATGTTGCCTTGACCCAGTGCAAGACCTTGCCTAGGAACACCCTGTATATTGCTAGATGGCACTCCTTGAATCAATGACAGCAGTCTTGCATAGTCACCAGATCATTTTTGATCAGACACCTTTTAAGATGTACAAAGTGATTGCAAGAATGATATAGAATAAGTTTCTTATGAAGCAGTTATGCCTTGCCTAATGAGAACTACAACTAATGAGATACTATTAATATGCTCACCAACCCTGATAAGATGCTGGTGAACATGCTGGGCATACAAGCATCAGTTAAGCGGGAATTGTGCATCCTGGTTCTCAGAACAGGCTGATCCTCTGTGTTGCTGAGTTACCACTTTCTGATTCTCTGCTTTTAAGGGTGTTTTTTTTATCCCTCAAGGCATGGATTTTTTACTTCTCAATTCTTGAGGAGCTTCTATTACCTTTTCAACCATACTCTGCTTTCTGTGATTTTACTCATTTTGCATAGCTTCAGCTGGTGAACTTTCTGATCTTTAAGCATATTTCTCATTAAAACTGAGTCAAGACCACAGAAGTGTGCCAGAACAAACCAGGCTTAGGATCCCAGACAGCTGAAGCCTGCAGCCAAGGGCTGCATGTAGTCTGATGCAGCAAATCATTTTTTCTCACATAGTGAACTATGAACCTTCTATTCATAGCCTGTATGTATCACCCAGATATACACTTTGTGATTGCCAAATTTCACTTCTGATCATTTGAACCAACCTTAATGTTTTTGTTTGTTAGTTTGCCAGATTGGACTGTAGCACGTGGCAACAATAGAAATACCAGAAGCAACCAGAGGATGTGATGAATACTGTGTATGTTAGCCTGCGAAAGAAGATAAGAGAAAGAAAAGGAAAATACAAGCTTTCACTAACATATGCAGTTATTGGTATCCTGATGGGAATTTGTAGTTTACCAGGAAAAGAATGACTAAAGGCAGAGTAAAGGCATCCAAATCTGAGCTAAATATATTACACTATTGAATAAGCAGCATACATTAATTTTACAGTGCTGTTGAAAAAGCAATCAATTTTTTCATGACAACTTTTGCTCTTTGTAATCTCCCCTTCAAGGATTTTTCTCTGAATTCTTTTCCCATTAGTCTCTGAGGAGCAGACTCCCTAGGCTGTAATTGCTGACACACTCTCCTTTTTCATTCACAGAAAGAAGCCATTTGAACAGATAGGGATGTGTTTGTAAAATATGTACAGATGAAGAAACTCACCAAACCAGAGGTAAAGAAAGGGGTCCTTCCTTTGTCTTTCATACAATTCTGATAGTTCTTTCTTCTGTTCCTTCTACCCTGGGCCTTGATTTGCTACCTGGACTAATTTAGGGCTAAAATGTACCAAACTTTTCTACGATTCAATGATTCTATTTTTTCATTTCCATTTCTACAGTTCTGCAGTTAAGCAGCTTAAATGCAGGTCCTGTAGTACAAGAGGCTGAGTACCCTTAGGACTATTCCATTTAAACTGACTTTAATGTAAACGTTTTAATTGATGATTTTATAAATTAGTTCATCATTTTAATTTTAATGGAAGCAGCAGAACATCTCATTACAATTATTAATTCTAACCTCAACATGTAGCAGTGTGTGAGGAGGTGAAGTGCTCCCACACACCAGGCTGTGATGCAGAAGTCCCTGGTGTGCTTGTACCTGCAGGCTGATGTATAAGTTCAAAGGATCGAGGGAGCAGGGAGAAGCCAGTGACTCACACAGGCACAGACAAACAGCGTCCTTGGACTTTCACAATCCGTTTTGAAAGAAAATTATTTAAGATTCAGGCTCAGACAAGACCCAGTCTGTTGAAGCAACACAGGGTCAAAACGAGAACAGCGTAAAGTGTAGAGGATAGTGGTGGTTCATCGAAGTTTGCTAGGTAGAGCTTATAGTCTGTCTGCCCTCGCCAGCTGGCACTTCCAGGCCTGCAGGGCTATGAGCATCTCATGGCAGGGAAGAGCCTGTAGGTGCTGAATAATTCTATGAGTATTTCACAGAACAGAAGCATCTGCGTGACAGCACAACGTGACCAAGGTGAAGAGTGTGGGAGCAATCCTTTCCAATGGGGCTGACATCCAGCCTCAGCTGCTTGAAGTATAAGGAGACACATTTGCAGAAATGAAAATAAGAACCACAAGAAAGACTTTGCAACAAAAATACACCTTTATTGAATTTTGACATTTATATTATTTCTAAATAAAATATGCTGTGTTATTTTAGGCATCTTTTAAACTGGCAAGCACTTCAATAAGTGGTATATAAATATGGCACATTCGTATGTGTACCTCAGGGGTTAATTATGCTAGTACATAGAATTATCTTTTGAAATAATATTAGCAATTAGCATACTGGAAGCATTTTTTTTTTAAATGGTGCTTTAGATAACACGTGTATTGTAAATTCCTTCTCAGCAGAGAAAAAGGCCCAAAAGTACTCTGTGGTTTGATCTCTCGATCCTAATTTGAGGCTGTAAAAGAAGAGTTTCCAAATGAACAAAAATAGCCAAAAATGGTATAACTGAGATTTACAAACAGTGTAAATCAGATTAGCTGGCTAATAAATTTCACTCCCATTTTCACAGGAAAAACAAAACAAAACAAAAGAAAACAAAAAACAAACAAACAAAAAAAAGCATGAAGAAAAATTCAGCCACTTCTCTTGTTTTAAGGTTTGGGACAAAGCGCAGCTGGTACCAGTCCTGCCTTATGAGATTCTTGTCACCTTTGCAGTAGCCTCAGAAAGTCTGTTGGAGCACTGCATTCCCATGTAGCTGCAGCTGTCCTAATTCTGCATTATGTCCCTCATCCTGAAATTTAAGTCCATTTCTTTCCCTCTCACTCTCAGGGAGGTTGGAGAAGTGACTAATACTCCTTTACAATGATGCATTATGAAGAGATGCAACCAGATGTGGCTCTGCTCTCTTTTTTTCCCTATGTGAAGAAACCGAAAGCTTTAAACCCTCTCTAGATCTGCTATTCGTTTTCCACAGCATCAGTCTCTCTTTCTAATAGTGCTCAGGATGGAACATAACACTGCAACTTGTTCTTCACTAACAATGAACAGAAATGAGGATTTCCTTCCATTATACTGTAAGCACTCCCTTCAGCATTCCTTTGAATGGCATTTTTTTGTAGCAGCATTGCTTCCCCAACTCAGATTCAGTTTGTGGTCTCTTGTAATCTTCAGATTCTTTCCTATGTTATTATTGTCATCCCTCTTCTATCTGTGCTTTTCTGTCCCTTGTCACTGTCTTCAGTCCCAAGTGGGGATTATCTGTAAATCTGATTAATGTACTGTCCATTCAGCCGAGCAACTAGTTAATGTTGTACAGAGCCAGAAGAAAGCATTGTGGAAGTCTCTGTGAGGTGCTTTCCCATTTTAGCAACAAATGATTGTTCTCAAAGCTCAGCTTTCCTATCAGTTGCACATCTACCTTGTGTGTATTTAATTTAGTCCATATCTGTTCTGCTTGCTTATGTATGTCATGTGGGTCTGCATCAAAGAACTATATCAATCATATCCCTTATATCTGTTTTGCTGTCAAAGAAGGAAATGAGATCAAGTTGATAGGACTTGTTTCTGACCTGTCCCTGTGCAAGCTCCCTTATGTGCTTAGTATCTCTGGGTGACTACAAATGGATTGCTTAATGCTTTGTTCCAGTATCTTGGAAACAATATTAGCACTGACTTTTCTGAAATTATGTAGATCTTCCTTTCGTCCTTTGTTAGACATGACATTATGTTTGCCTTTTTGCAGGTTTTTTTCTTGTCGTTTTGTTTTTTGTGTGTGTGTGAATTTCCTTATCATGCTAATTGTTAGTTTGAGAAATAGTTTTGGTTAAGCATTTAAGGGTGTTTCATTGGGATGAAACTAAATACATCCAGTTCACCTAAGTATTCCTTAAGCTGTTCTCTTTCTATTCTCTCCATATTCCTACTCCCAAATTCTAAGAATTAACAGAATTAAACATTTAGTCACAATTAATCTTTTCCTCTGAAGACTGCAACCAAACATGTCTTGAATAGTTCAGCCTTTTCTATACAACTTATTTGCTGTCCTCCCTTGTTAAGTGCTAAATTGTGTCTACACTCAAGTACAGCACATTATTTGCAACACGGCACTGTTTAACTACAAGAAACTATTCATTTTAATGACATTATGTGGTTATGCACTCAAATATAAAATAATATTCATTTTATTTTTACTACACATTCTAATTCCAAACCATACCTCAATTCTTTCCACCTGCTTGATTACCTACTTAAAATAAATTCAATTTTGACTTCGTGCTAAAAAGTGAAATTATTCTGTATTTGTAATTATTAATGGAAAGTCACTCACCAAACACAGCCAGCTTATTATCCAAACAATAAATCATGTTGCTAATGCATTCTACCATTTTTTCAAAGCAAGCACATATACATCAGTTTGTTACAATGACACTAAAGCTATAGTTACATATTCTAAGTGTTACTGTAATCAAGTCAGAAAAACAGTAATACTCACCATTACAGCTAAACAGAACCTTTTTCATCGGTGACCTGTATTAAAAAAAATAATAAAAAGCGAAAACAAAATGGAGAGGTGAGTTAAAATTGCACTATGTGAAACAGACACAGTAGTGCAAATATTATGCTGGTGGACAATTTCATGAAGCTCTTGGTCTCTGTAAAAACTTTGGTTTCCTGTACTGTTAATTTATAACTATGTTTATAGAGCTCAGGATGTTTTTTTATGCACTGACATGTTTGAAGAGCAAATTTCAAAAGACAAAGCATTACTCTGGCTAAATGCACAGCAGAAGATGTTTCAAACTCATGTTGGGTTCCCATTTCTTTTTTGGACCACGTCCCACGAGGACACAGGATGTGGCCCATCTTGTAGCCACGTGGCATGGATATTGCTTTCCTCCACCTTAGAAGCGCTTTCCACAGCCTTCTATAGTAACCACGTACCCAAAGTAAGGAGGAGAGAGGACTGCAGAGTTCTGTCTCAGATAAATAACTGGTGGTACTACTGATTTAAAAAGGTAGTAGTCAGCTGTTCAAAGTCACTGTTCCAGGTGGCATTCCACAGGTGACCATCAGACACCAGGGAGCTGGGTGGAGAAAGAGCCCATGATGTCTGTGAATGTTAGTAACTTGGAGAACAGAAACAGATTGCTATGATGAGGATACAGCCCCCATTTTGGAGCTCTTTGCCAGGATGGAGGAATGGGCCAGCAGGAGCTGTTTCAACAAAGACAAATGCAAAATCTGGATCTGGGATGAGTAAGCGAACAATCCCATAGAACTGCAGGTCAGTTACTGACTGGCTGGGCAGTCAGAGAGGGACCCAAAGCATGGTTGACTCCCAGCTGAACAGGATTTCTTATATCTGTGTGGTGGCGAAGGCTAACCTCATATAGGGTTGCATTAATTACAGCAATATGTCATGTGCCATTCCTTCAGAGGCTGACAATTATTATTCTCTGCGGGGTGCTAGCATCCTTTTTAATATAAATTTAGCATGTAGTAGATGTAGTGTAATTATTGTTATACAGAGCCCAATAGAAACAATATTCAATACATTCAGAAAATGTTTTTCCTTGCTAATGCATGGTGATATACTGCCCTTTCATAACAAGAAGATATTGTTGAAGCTGCCAAAAAGTATTACCCAAATACCTGTTGTAAACACATATTTCTTCTTGTAACTGTAATATATTAAATGTTATAAAATTTAAATCATTAGAAATTATAAAACAAAACAAAAAACAAAAAAACAAAAAACTAACACAAATTATAAACTAATATAAATTATCTATCTGATTTTTTTCAGACTTTACAAACATGCCATTTGGACCTCTCTATTTGTAAGACCAGATGTTCATAGCTTACTGCTCCCAATTAGCATCCATTTGTGATGTTGAAGAACTTATCCCAACTAACACTTGAAATTCTTACTCCTTTAATCAAAGCAGTAGATATTCTTATTTGTAATGTTCATTTGCAACATCATTAAATTTTCAGTTAAATGAACTGTTATGATGATATGGAGAGAGCCCAGTCCTTGGCTTGATTAAAATAAACTAAGGACAGTGAGACTACTGATTCAGAGAGGTTCTGTTCATTTTGTTCCAAAATGCTTTTGAAGATCGCAGGTCACATTAAAGCAATTCTCATTTTGGAGGAAAGTGACATCGAATTTGGAACATCCAAGACCTTTTTTGAATGTGTTACTGTTGCCTTTTTCTTTATTATTTACTGCCTTATGCTGCCTTAGTCTCCATGCCTACCCTCAATCTATGCAGTGTTTATGAATAACCTAATACCCTCTAGTTCCTTTGGTATTTTATCAAGTCTGAACAACAGCAGTGCTTCAAATGCAGTTCTCAACCTATCTGTGATCCATTTGGCACCAAATGGAAGAAGAAGGTGCTTGAGCAAGGGATCTGATATTACAACTGCTGTGGATAGAGTTCTCTCTTGTTTTGTGTTATCTGCAATATCCCTGTTCTTGCTCTGACAAGGATTTTCTTTACTACCAGCTAAAAAAGTATTGAAAGGCACCTTAGAGATGGATCATTACAGAATACCTAAGCACCAGCAGCCCCAGGCTGTCTAGATAACCTCAGTGAGAGAGCGGTCTGTACCATTCTTTTGCACCTCCCTTCCAGACAACACTCAAGTTGGCCTCCGCTCTGCATGCTCACCCCTTGCAGCTTTGCAATGTCATGGACTGTGGCTCAGAGATACCCTATTTCAGACCAGAATTACTGTTGGCCATATGGAGATAAGATGAAACACAGTGACTGTGATATCAAAAAAAGTTGGGATTTTGTGAACTCTGGGACTTTGTTTGGAAATCCAGATGCCATTATTTTTAGCTGGAAGAACATTACTTCTGAAACTGTCACTTGGGTTGGGTCTTGGTCTAGCACAAAACCATCTACATAAACTCTTTAGTACAGTGTAATGAGTACACTTCCTTTCTTATATATAGAATCTGTTAATGATTAATAGAAATGTTGACCTCTGACCAGATACACTTCTTAAATAAATAAAGAGCAATATATAACAGAACTGTGGGCCTTACTGACATTTCAAATAATTTATAATTTAAAGAACATTTGTAATTATTATTATTTTTTTTAATTGAAGCAGGGCAGATTAATTGCTTCCTTTACTGAAGTGAAATACTGTCTCCACTGAAGTCAATGGAATCAACATTTTCTCATGGTGCCTTACATGGAAAGATGCCAGATATTAAATAATAATTGCAGATTTCTTAGCAATAACAAATAGATAAGATGGAGCAACAGCTGAAGCAAAAGATTACATGAACCTAAAGTAATTGTACAATAGCCTTGGGACTTTCCAAGTTCTATATGAATAAAGGTAATGAGTACATACATTTAGCAGCTGCAGTGCCTTTTTATGACTTTACAGGGACATATGCCCTATGTTCTCTCTAAATATTCTGACTCAGTATAATTCTGAGAGTAATTGCAACACCAGTCACACACTATGATGTGGGCAAACACTAGGTTAATTGAAGATGTAAGTATGGGAAATTACTATCCTATCTCCTGGTTAGTTTTTGCAGGAGTATCCTTCAGATGTCCTCCAACTAAATAGCATTGGGTGTAGGGAAGGATTTTACAGGGAGGAAATGCTTACTTATTTGTTTTCCTGCTTTCACAGGAAAGTAACAGGCCTGATTTGTTTTGTGTTTTTATAATGAAGCTGATGCTGCATGAAGAACAGCATACAAAGATAACTTCTTTTTTTTTTTTTTTTTTTCCAGTGGTGAATACTTTACTTTGAGGAAAACAACCTGAATTACTAAGTAGAAAGTAGCAAAGACTCTTCTTTGCCATCTCATCCTTTGTAAAGGTCAAGGAAATATTTATGTTTCACTCTGCATGTGACCATCTGTTCTTTTTCTGGAAATACATAAATCATACTGACTTTCACACACCACTTTTTTAGCTCTGAGGGAGTAACACTGTGGAGGAAGAAGCCAAGTATGAGCTTACAAGTAATTTTAGATAAAGAAAAAAGGGTTGATGAGGGCAGAGATGGAGAAATACAGACTTTATTACAGCAGTAAGAATAATGTTGGCCTTGTCACTTGACAGAACTTTTCCTAACCACCTCTACATCCAAACATAACTTCACTGATAATAAAGGATATACTACGTTAGGTGGAGCCTTTTATGTTACATAAACCCATAAAGCATAAATCCAGCACAAACTGTTGCTTGAGTCAGGAGAGGTTCCTATCAAAAACTTTACAGGTAAAAAAAAAAAAAAGTAAAATTAAGATTAAAACTGAAAAAGCACTATCATGTGAGAAGCTGATCAAGCTGTTAATTGTCTAACTTTGTTTTGTGAAGGCACTTGGGAACGGTCTACAGTATAAACCATATAACTGCCCATGAGAGAACCAGGGACTGGCCAGAAAGGTGGGGACTGCACTTGAAGATAAGAGGCTGTGCTGCATTCATCACTCACATTATCTGGGGCTGAACAGTAGTCGATGATCCTCCTAGTGAGATGCTTACCTTTCTTCTTTCTTCTTTTTCTATTTCTTAATCTTTTTACAATAGAACCCAAGATGAACTGTGAGGATGTATTAACAGGCTCTGTCAACAAACTGAGAAGACAGTCAACGTGTGCCTGACTCCATTCTGCCTCCAACATGTGAAGGTCTTGCCCTCAAAACTCCCTTCACATTTATAAGAAACTCACGTATTTTGTAGCAATTACTGGCAAATGTCCTTTTCTTTTTTTTAAATGCTCATTTTGCTGCTTTTAAGTAGACCAGAATCTTGCCTCAAAATAAGAATGGAAAAACAGTGTGTTGCAAAAATAAAATTATAATTTCTTTTTATATTGTTAAAACCATCTAAAAATTTATGACATAATTATGAGAGTATTCCCAGTAACAAAAAGAGGTATCAGAAGCAAAAATTCCTGTGTCACAGCTGAACTTATACTGTTAGTATAGGTAGTAAGTTAAGCATTTTATGTACATTTCTAAAATAATGTTGAAAATGTCTTTTAATTATGGATGTTCTATTACAGTTCAAAGCCTGCAGTAAAGAATACAGTAGTTAATCAAATTACATATGTAATTTACATTGAGCCTAGAGATGTGAAAAAGTAAGGAATCCACCACTGAGTTTAGACTTCAAGAAGATTGGTGTCTTTCTTCAAAGGCCAATAAAACTGGCACTGAACGCTGATACTGCACAAACCATCTCTCTGCATGCTGTCCGATGTTTTCTTGACATTCCTTTACAAAGTTTTTAACAATTAACTGTCTGAAGTGCTTCTGGCACTTGTTGAATCTTCTATTTAAAACAGAACCCTTATCAGTGACTGCAAACTGGGAAATGGTCTTCCTACATAATATAGCAAATTCCACTCAGTAGCATCCCAGTAGCACATACCAGAATCCTGAAGTGTAAATGTTAGTTTTACCCCTAATTCATACAAACAGTCTCCAAAACAACTGTTGTCTTTCTTCTTCATTAATCACCAAGAATAATTAA